TCTGATGCATATTGATGTACTTATGCTACATAACAAGTTTGAGCTGATTCCGACTTCAACTTTTTGAGTTACTGCCATTTTTAAAGATGAGCCAATTTCTGAAAAATGCCCAAGGCTATAACTCATCTTTTTTTTAAAAAATGGCTTCAAAATGACCCCCAATTTTTATTACATCTTTTGATACATATTGATGTCTTTATGCTATGTAGAAGTTCAAGGCCATGCCAGTAACAAATTATTTTGAGTGATGGTCTCCTGCCCATTAATTTGTACATGTACATGCATAAAAGGCAAACAGTTGATACATGTCTCTTTATATCCTTCTTATCTACAAGTAAAACTGATACTCCAGTGACTGATCCTAATCCCTCCAAGCGTAAGTCCATATCCAAGGAAGAGTATTCTGAGGGTCTTGAGAAAGTGATGATGTCATTCGGTAGCTCTCGGGGAAAGAAGGCGTGGTCAGCAGCTAAGAGGAATCATATAGACTGACAAGTCTCTGTTCTTGTAATGTGCTATGCTAGGTAAGAGAAGTGAATGAATACTATTTATTGATCTTAATTATTTTTATTTGAGTGTGTGGTGAGGAATCATTATTTTATTTAGCATAGTGCCATTTTATGACTGTTATGTACAATTAATCTTTACATTTTATTTCTGATATTTAATGTATTTAATAAATTTATTAATAAAAATTAATTAGCAGCAGCTCACTTCCTGTTTCATAATTCATTTTTAATAAACATTAATGCTCATTAATTAATTTTAATTAATTAATTTTTTAAACTACTGCCGCTGCCTTACCTAAGATAAGCTGAGCAGGCAATAGCATATTCCTCTTCCTTCCATAGCTCCTAGTGGGCATTAATTGGAGAGAGAAACCATGCTAGTGACACTAATAAATTATATTTTTCTCATGTACAGTTAAATATCTTATTGATGTAGTATGATGTGATGTTGATATTTTCCCTTTTCTTTTTTTATAGTGCAACACGAGTGTATTCCCCAGGCTATTTTAGGCATGGACGTCATCTGTCAAGCAAAATCAGGTAT